CGAAAAGACCGTGTCCTCTTGTGATTATACTCCTCTGCCGGATCTTGTTATCCAATGACCCTGATCAGTAAAATCTTCTATTTTATGATTTGACGTAGCCATATTAATTGGAGTAGTGTCTTTAATGCAGTTGTTGCATTCTACATTCTTATGTCTCACGCAAGCAAGCAATTTAAGTAAACTAAGCCTGTGAGACATGTTCACCCCTAAGAATTACGTTCGGGTGTAACAATTCATTGGAGCAAGGTGTATCGAGTTAAAAACAGGAGTCACCCCACCACGCTCCAATTTTCCAGTCCATCCCTTTCCCCCTATAGCACTCTGATACGCGATAGGGGCATACCTATCAGCCAAATGCTCTTGATGTGGGAGTCTAGGGTAATAGAACTAAAACAGGGTTCCCTAACCGATTCAAATTCAGAACAGCTTTGTTCCTGATATCCTCTAGTGACTTGTCCGCGAATCTAAAATTGCTTGCTTGGGCCCCAAGTCTCTGCACCGGTCTACATCCAGTCTGGAGACTTGGTGCTTAAGTGTTTGGGTCCTACTTGCACGGGTTTTTTGTTTTTGTATTTATACACTTTTTTGGTTTTTAGTATTTTTGTTTTTAATTGTTTTTTATTATTTTTATTGTAGGATATCTTGATGAGGGTGCTGTTGTTGTTGATTGGTGGGATCACTCCTTGAGGTCCACACATCGCGGCGATTAGCAGTGTTTGTTATTATACTTTTTTTTCTCTCTACTGTTTTCTCTCTGGTGATTTACTTTGTTATGATTACTTGTTTTGGTTTCTCTCACTCCTTTTTTATTTGTTGGTCTCCACTTTTTTTTGATTCCTTAATTTATTCCACTATTTGTTGATTAGGCCTCTTGTGTTTCCAATGGTGGAAAGCGTTATATCTCATGATCTCTCGCAGTATGGGATTAGGGTGGTTTTTCAGTTCTGCGAATTTTATAGCATAAGAGCCTGAATAATATCCTTAATTATTTCCGTCACCCTGACCTGTTGTAGGTCCCTGTATATGAAGCGTTCTACTATGTATCTGGGAATGTTGACAGCTTCTGTTAAACAGCTGTTGTGAACTGCTTGGATCCTCTTCTTTGTGGTTTTACAGGTGTATCCCCATGCGAGAAATGCATATGTAAGTATCTGTAGAATGATACTGTTTATTAATATTATCTTTGTTTTTATCCTTAGTTTACTTTTTCAACCTGTGAGTCCTCTAGTGGTTGCTTTAGTCCCTTATCCATGATGATTACTCCCAAGTATTTGGCCTCTCTTTTCCACTCGATGGGATTGTTCTGTACAGTAAGTTATTCCTCAGGTTGTTCTTATGTATTATACTGATGACTATTACTTATAGGTTATATATTATAGTAAGAGGGGATTGCCTATACGAGAAATCACTCAGTGAAATTTTCGCCCTGTCCGGATACCCTCACTTAGTTTAGCCTGCAGGCCAATGCAGTTCCCAGGGCCTGGTGCAGGAAGAGTAAGGACCAGTTGTTTGGAAACACCTTCCGTCTATGAATCTTTATGTGACCATTTCAAAAATAAAAGATACTATCTATATCACGCAGCCCGTATATCATACTATTATTAGTATCCACCCTTCGATAAGGGCTACACGACCTTAACATATGTTCGGATGATTAAGTTGACTGTTCAGATAGGGCTGTAGTCTGGCGTAGGAAGTGGAACAAGTATGTGTGTCTGAATGAATGAGATCTCCCTAATAAGGAGCTTTCCGTTGAATGAACGTACCACCTATAAACGGGCTAGGCCTGGCGAATGGGAAGAATAGAAAAATGTGAAACGACCACGCTAGGATAGTTCCTGTCATCGATTAGCTCTCTAAACTATTTGGGAATCTCTCCTAGTTAGTCGAGAGACTAAGAGTGGATTAACTGCTTCAGCGACCAAGAAGCAGCCTACAAAAGCTAAGGTGTGAGGTAATCGTGCCGATGGCTGTATGGCCACAGGGTTATATGTGGTCATGAATGATCCCCTGGAGAATCAGGCCAACCCCTTTCTATAAAGTCTTCCCCTGGTTATGGGGGCTTTGCCAGGGGCGACCAACCTTCCCCTAGCTACTGGTGGAAACAACATGAATGTACAAAAAAAAACCAAAAACCAAAACCAAATCCCGAGACTGAACCAAAACGTTCACCTCAGTCTGAAGCCGCAGTTGAGCAATGTTCACCTCCAATAGTCCACTCTGCTTTTTTGTCTAGAATTTCATTTTTGAACAAATTTATCCTAAAAAGAAACTTCGTATTCGTATTAAGCAACCTCTCCAAAGCATGACCAAAATTGGTCATTCACCTAGGGAAACCTTCAATTTATAACACTTCTTTTAAGTGTTTCATCCGTATTTAAGATATCTAATGAGAGAGATAAGAAAATAGACTAGATTAAACAAATAGTTAAATAAAAAGTTGTTTGATTAATATTTTATGTACGGAGTAATAACTTTATTAGTGAGCATTGAAAGTTTTAAGCAAGGTATGTTTTTTAGATACATCTTACACTTCGTTGATCATATCCCGTTTGGTCATTTAGTATGTTATTAAAAAAATGTGCAAATACAATATTAGTTTAAAAGATCATACAATAAACTGAAACCTGTTAATAGCAAAATGTTGGGTTTTATTTTATTTATAAAAGATTTTATAAATTGTTAGGAATTAATATATAGATCAGTAAACAGTTTTTAAAAGAGAAAAATACTCAAAAATTATTATATTATTGAATTAGGTACTACAACCATAATGGCTATTGAAAATAGCCATTATGGTTGTGCGTTAGGCACTACATAATCCGCATACATTAAGCACTAGGGAATGTTATTTTGTAGTTTCTTTGTTATTTGATCTAACAATAAATAATGCGAATAAATAAGAACTAAGCATCGTGTCCTGATGGAATCATACTACTTGTAGAGCAGAGTGGTACTTAGTAGTACTTGGATATAGAGACTGTAGATGAAATAATAAAGAACACAGCACACGTCACGATCAGAGGCTCCAATATCATAATGAATCTTATATTAATAAAATATAATTGTAATTGAGAAGATTCTAAAAAGGACAAAACTCTTCAATATGCTGCCGAACTCGTCCAAGAAATTATATGTCCAACACCTATGACCTTGTCCACATGCTCCCTAACAATAGCCTTGCCACGATAATCTGGGTGAGGGCGCTTAGGACTCCCACGAATGCGGTGGAGAGATAACATATGGTCAGATTTAAGAACAATGGGGCTGAGGTGAGGTTGTGCAGTCTGCAAGCAGTCTATTGTGCAAAAAGCTGTTCAATTTTGCTTAGATGTTTTTTATGAAAACAGTGTAGTGGGAAATACTGTTGTGTGTGAAGCTACTTCATTAAAAGAACACCATGGGATAGGCTTCTAATTTTAGGGAATCTTCTGTAAATTAAGTTGGCTTAGAAATGCTAATTGGTTAATTGAGCAGATATACTGTTTAATAATACTGATAAGGCATTTTTAAGAACGAGTGTAAGATTTCTATATTTTAATAAACTCAGTTACACCGTCTTCAGAACAACCAGATCAGAACAGATATCGATGAAAAGCATAAAAAAAGAACAGAAGCTACATATTAAGCTGATAAGAAAGCAATAGGCATAGAAGATAAGAGTAAAAAAATTCAATCCGATATGGATAATTTTTGTTAATGGCTTTAGTTTGCTTGATCTATTCAGCCACGTTATGGCTGACTCATTCAATACTAATTAAATTTTCCTCTTAGTCCTTTTTAAAAATTACCAGATGATGTTTTATTTTATAGTTTCCTGGAGACAAGGAATTCTTGGGTTTCTTGGATTTTGTGGGGTTTTTAGAAGGTATTTGTTCTTGCGCCAGAGTTTTCATCAAATACATAATTGCATCATCATTAAGTTTGCATCCAAACAGCCAATGGGTAATATCATTAGGATAACCATTGCAATCGCAATGTTCTAATTCCGATAGTTTTATTCTATAGAAGTATGCCTTGACAGTGGCATGATTGAAGAGTCATCAATAAACATATTTTGGAATATATTTTTTTATTAGGTTAACTTCTTAGGGCAAAAGGCTCAGTAAGTAAAACAGGATGAATTTTGGTATAGAGACTGTTGCTTTGATTGCGAAAGTGTACCTAGCACTCAATATCCCAGTTTTGTTTTGGACTTTTCTTGCGTGAAGCTGTTAGATTGCTTCTATCTAGCTTCTGATTATTTTAAGATCGACTTTTTAGCAAAAAATCTGCTTTGATGTTATCGTGAATACTAAAGTGTACCTTTATCCAGACGAAAGAATAAATTTTTTAGCTAAAAATAGTCATCCTAAATAAAGATTAGTTCCATAGATTCAGCTAAAAGATTCTCTGTAGGTTAGATTTGAGCGAACCTAGAACCAATCGCAGAGCCTTGTACTGAATGAGGTCTAGTTTTTTAAGACGACTGTTTGTGACAAATCAATATAGAAAGAAAATGCAAGATAAATCATTAAAATTAATCTTAGGATCAGCACCCAATTGATAGCGATTAGCTGCTTTAAGAATATTTAAACTTCTCATATTTCCTTAAGCACTTATTAATATGATCATCCTATAATATGGATGATATTTGTTGAGTTTTACAATGATTTTAGTATATTTGTTTGGGCCAAGTGAATTTTTAGAAATGAAAAGCAATGTATGAGCAAAATGATAACTTGCATTAAAAAAAAAACAAAGGAACTTGAACAAATATGACGATGAAAAACATGTAGTAGATGTAAAATTGTGGGAGCAGCTGGTTATGAAAAAAACACCTTTCAGTAATGCTAAAATATAAGAAAAATAACGATATCTTTAACGATGTAACGTTACCTTTAACTGGTAATTATAGTACTGAAACGCAAAAACAAGTAACAGTTGAATCAACTGTTTTCTGATCTATACAAGAGAAAAACCGCTACTCAAAAAAACTCATTTTGTTTAAAACACTATACCTTTTTTCTGCCGATGATATTTGTGTATTCTATGGAGATGTCCATAATCCGGCGGGTCTTCCGTCGAATCACTAGCCACACTTCCCCCACACGAAGACGTCGGAGAAGAATCACTCGATACTGACGCCATCATTACGTCTAACAAATTGGCCCTTGCCTACAAATGCACAAAAATATGAAAAGTCTTTCAATTATACGTTCATGAGTGACAGCATTAATAATAATGATGGATTATCAACATGTATATATAAATAAATTGGGTAAATACAAGGAGACATAGTGTCGAAAATAAATTGTATTTATCATATTACTATGTATATTTAATTTGGAAAGTTAAGATTACCGCATTTACTGGCAGCAGATGCTAACTAAATAATATATTAGATATACAGCGAAGAACTTTATTGATTTATTTAAGTCCGCTAATGGTGTCTTGATATGGAGACCTGTTGAATATTTTCTTATTCTTCTTTTAACGACAAATATCACTGCTGCAGTCTTACTAAACCAGAAAAAACAGGACGATCAATTTTGTGACCACAGTCGAAAAGGAAACTTTCAACTGGAAAAAGCAGCTAGACTCATTAACAATTCTACTGATAAAATTAAGAAAAATATTTGCAGAGCAATGAGATGTAATAAGAAGATAAAGCTACGAATGAAACATTTCTCGTAAGTTCCATAAAGTGAAGCTTTTAGTCCCCGTTTGATGTGAAATATCAGTTTGATACAAAATTTTTATTTTTTCTCTACTTAATAAATTGTATTTACCCTTCTTCTTTTTCGTTAGGTCTATGGCCTGTATTTACTGGGAACTAGTTAGTCTTATTTGTGATTCCAAAGACCAGCTGTCTTCCCCTCTCTTTGGTGCTCTTCATGGTAGCCTTCCTCCCTTTGATTACGCATCCATAATTGTTGTCACTCTATCTTCTGCCATTCTCGTTACATGTTGATTCCACTTTCTTTATTTCCTCTTTCCTATCTCACTACTCATAATGTTCATCTCAGGGCCTGTTTGGTTTTCTTTGTATCAGCTTTTGTTTCTATTGTTTAATTTGTATTCACGGTCCAGGAAGCTATTTTCATACACAAGCACCTAGTCCCACGTTGGCAGCGTCATTTATGTGCGGCAACCTTGGGTACCAATTGGGTTAACCTGCCAACCTGAAGCTGTCGACACATGGGTAATAATGCACCGTTGCTCATTAAAGTACTCGGAGGGGTCGGGGTCTATATCAAAGGCAGTATGAAGTAAGTGTCGTAGCTCGGTAGGTTTTCAAAATTTGCAAAACAAACAAAAAGACGACAACAAAATGTTGGGTGCCACCTACTTGCGTAGGAATGTTGTCAGTAAGAGCCCAAAAGGTACGATTATCCAAGCTGTTGTGAACTTAGCTAGGATGTACTTGAATTACTGGTGTTATTTAAATAAATAACTATATACGGTATAAAAAATGACAATCGGATCAGGCGATTGAAGAAACTTCGATCACGCATATTGCGTTTAATTATAATAAACAATACAATAAAAACATTAAAATATAATGTCGAGATACTTTACCTTAGGATCAGCCAGGTCAATATCCTTTTCAACATGCACCCATCCCGTAGGTCTACACGCTTGATCCAGTTTACTGTTCGTTCCTTCGCTGTTTTCCTGGCTAACACTGATTTCATCTCCGCTCTTGATCATCCTGTTCAGTTCGTCGATGACATCCTTAGAGGTCGCTCGTTCGTGAAAACTAACTGCTCTATGAGGTGGTCCTTCGATTATGTGGCTCAGAACGCCAGATGTGCTTTGAGGTAATTTCTCCGACGTTACTATATGCTGCGGCGAATTGTTTTGCTGCACGTGTACTATTTTCTACAAAAAATTGGAATATTAAATAAAAAGAAATTTTTAGAAAATTAGACAAAATATTTTGTGGGCAAAATGAAAATGATTCACTATTTTTCTTAATATTTTGAAGGAGATGAAAGTGAACAACCGGTGAAAAGGGACGGTACTGTCGAACAAAGAGAAAGAAGAAAAGCTAATGGGAAGAACTTAGCGACGGCAGACGACGAAAAGAGGACTAAGTCGCTGAAGGCCACTGGTCGCTTTATTGTGTGAATGAGGATTTAAAGCGAACGAATATAACGGGAGCGGATGATATAAAGGAATCAAGCAACATAAGTGGGCATCAAGTGAGACGATGAAATGACCAAAGAGAATCTCCCGTGTCGATACTCTTAGAGAGTTAGTTGATCATGGACGTCTCTGGGAGCGGAAGAGCAGCGAGATCCGAATAAGGTTAAATTGGTCGATCAGATCTGGATTATGTTAGGAACTAAACACTACCAGAATGTTTATTCTGGTGTCTGACTGCAGATTCCCCCGCCTAGTCATAAAAAAGACTAGATTAGGTTAGATTATTATTATTACCTCAATGTGTTTATAGAATGGTACCGATAATGACTTTGTGGGTGATTTCCTTGTACATTCTGGTGGATGAGAGGGAGATATTGTATGTGAGTAGAAATCAAGCTAATGAGCTGAGACTGTGACAGAAACAGACACATCGATCAGAATGTGCCAGGAGCAATGGGATGCAACAGATAGCTTAACCCAGTGATCTGTCACGCATTCCGAATCTGAGAGAATGAGTAGAGTGCGAGCATAGGCAATAGTGCGAAAGCAGATTCTTTCAGATCACAGTTGTTTTAGCACATACCTTCAGATTCCGAAAGCCTATGGCGAATTGAACAATGTGTCGTATTGAGCATTCATTTTCACTTGTAAATCAGTTGGCTGATCGGAACTTCACTAGATCTTTCATAAAAAGGAACCGACTATCTTTACAAGTTTCACGAAAAACAGGTATTGCTAGAACCATGTGCTTCAATAGAGTGCATCTAGATCAGTATTTTGAAATTTGAAATTTTGGAGAACACTACACAAAAATATAAGTTACCTAAAAAGCGTATCTAAGTAGCAAAGGCTGTAGCTGCCGAGCAAGGACAAACAATTACGGCTGTTTGATGTATGAGTGCAACTGGCCACCATGTCCCTCCATTTTTCATATTTGCTTAAAAACAGATGAATCTTTTTCTAACCAAAGACGGGCCCACTGCTCGCGATATGGCTGTTATTGATACTGGTTACATAAACACTCCCACGTTTATCAAGTACCTGAAGCATTTTAAAATCATAAGTCCAACAGAGAAGAACCCCGTTCTTCTGATTCTAGATAATTATGTATCGCACATAAGTCATCAAGCAGTAACATTTGCAAAAGATAATTTCATCCATTTATTAATTTTGCCACTACATACCAGCCACTCGATCGAGCATTTTTCAAACCATTAAAAGCTAATTATGAGAGCATCGCTGATAGCTGGATCAGTTCCCGTCCAGGATAAATTCTCTCCATTTACCACGTGGCTGGTCTCTTTTCCACAACATTTGCAAAAACTGCTGCTGTAGATATAGCAAGAGAGCGCTTTCGGTCTACAGGAATCTACCCACTAGATAAAAATTATTTTTCGGACGTAGATTTTATGCCAGTGGAAGTAACTGAGCTAGATTTAGGTGCAGACTCAGACGATAAAGGTCATGTGTTTATCCAGTTTCAGCAAGAAGAAGAAGACTTGTTACTGATGCGAAGAAGCCACAGTAGTCATTAAAATCGGAAGTCAGAATTTCTGTAACTGGTCCTTTAAATATTGAGAAAGAAACTTTTACTGACACGAAAGAGCCCCAGCCGTCATCAAAATCAGAACAGTCAGTAAACCTTATTCCATTATACCATTATTCCCTTTCCAAAAATTAAGAAAAAAGGGAAATGAACCAGGAAAAGTTTGAAGTCAACCCTACTAACACCGACACCTAATAAGGAGCGACTTTTAGAAGAACAAAAAGAAAAGAAGGAAGCAAAAAAGGAGAACTACCTAGGCCACGTGATAAGGGGAACAAAATACGAAACTTTGAGACTCATAATACAGGAAGAGATTCAAGGAAGAAGATCTGTTGGCCGAAGGCAGAACTCTTGCTTGAAGAATCTACGTGATTGGTATCACTATGATTTAGAGCAGAAAGTTCAAAAATAAAAATAGCCATTTTGATTGCTAACCTCCGTAGGAAGACGGTACTCTAAGAAGAAGATATTAGGCCAAATCAACTTATTTTCATCCCTAAAAATCATGGTATAATTTATGACCATTCTTTTTGTTACACCCTGTATATATAAAAAAGACGGCTTGTAAAATTAACTATTCTCACCTTTTGTTTTGGTTTGTTGCTCTTATGTGGTATTTTGCTCTTTGGTATCTTCGTTTCTTTAACATTTTCCTTATTGTTATTATTAACGGCTATCACCCTCGCCGGACTAACTGGAATCCTCGACGCCGTTTTCCTTCTCGGTATCTTCGAAACTACCGTATCCGGCGTACTAACACTAGAAGTCAAAGATTCACTAGTACAATTATTCATAGAAATATCACTAATAGTCGTATCACTAGATTTTGTTAAGTCGCTAATTACACTATCACCTTTTTCTTTGTCTTTATCACTTTCCTGTAACACGCAACTTTGGTAATCGGTTGAAGTTATTTCAACGCTGACGCTGCTACATATATCCACGGGATGTTCGCTGATGTTGGAACAATTTTCGCTTTCTTGGTCAATAGGTGTTACTAAACAGATCTCGTTTGCGTGCTTTATATTATCTTCAATGAGTTCCTTATTTTCTTTAACTGAAATAAGCCAAATCATAAATACTGACATATAATAATTCAGATAACTGATTTGTCACCTTTAACATAACTAAATGACAGATTATTATTAGATACTAAGTTGATAAAGCACTTTTTTGCTAGTCATAAATTACCAAAATTCACAAATATACAAAGCAAAGCGATTAGGAAATATGTAAATATAAACAAATCTGGCTGATGACCACCTCCTAATCGCCGACGTAAAAACAAATAAACAAAGTGTGATAAAACGATTATTTTTACTACAAAAAGAACAAAATTGATGCGGTTTTTGGGTATTGATTCAAGGGCATAAATATCGGAAAAAATATCACAAGCAAAATATTAAATAGTAACACGTGATTCGTAATATTGTAGAATATAGATTTTTTTGTTTTATTTCTCCTGGTCAAAAAATCGAGACACTTGCATTTTGTAGGTTGTTTCTTTAAATTTTGTAGGTGTTAAGCGGATTTATATGGGGAAGAAGTAAACATTAAAAATAGAAATCTTTTATTTAAAACACTAAAAAAGTAATATTAAGAAAATTAAGTAACCCAAGAAAAAGTACAAAGTAACACAAAAAACATTGTTTGAAAAATTAAACAAAATAATACATAAAATTTTAGACTTTGAGTAGTCGGGTGGGGTCCGTGAGACCAGCGACAATTTATTTTTAATGCCCCACTGCTTGTTTTATGACGGAATACGCTACTTTATATATATATATATATATATATATATATATATATATATATATATATATATATATATACAGATTTGGAAATAAAATTACGGAACATAGGATTTTTAATACAGCTCAAATCCTTTAATGTGCAATTAACCAGTGTAAATTTCAATACAACGTCGCGATGTTTTATAATTAATTCATTTGTTCGACTGGAGTCTTCAATTCACGCCGCGATGCTGCCAGTGTAAGTGTAAAAACGGATCACACCTATTCGCATGTCAATTCAACGAAAACGTACTTATTTATAAATGTAGATATGAAAATATTTTATAATTAAAAAAATGGTTATGTTTTATTGCCAAAACGGCTTGAAAAAAAAGTTGATTTTTAAAATTAAAAATAAAAAGGAATTTTAAAAATAAAATAATTATATTACACTCTTTTTAATTTGAAATTATAAACAATATTTGGAATAATAAATGTATTTAAGTATAAATTTTATAACTCAAATAATACCTAATGAACACAAACAAAATTGATGTTAATAAAACATTATTTGTTATCTGCACAAAACCGGACTTTCAGGAAAAATCGGTAGACGGAGCAACACTGTCGGCGTGCCATATACACTGGCACGCCGACTACAAACCGCTGAGGAGAAGTAGTCCAGTGGAACAAATAAATTAGTTATAAAACATCGCGACGTTATAAAGAAATTTACACTGGTTAATTGCAACGCAGAGAATCTTAGTATTTGTATTAAAAATCCTATGTTCCGGATTAAAAATTCCAAATGTGTATATATATATATATATATATATATATATATATATATATATATATATATATATATATATAAATTTAGTAATGTTGCAACCTAATTTTTTTCTCTTGTATTTCAGATTTCAGTGATGGATCCTTGTCTGAAAAAAAGATCAATGATTACAACAGCTCTACGATGAGAAGAAGAAAATATTGATTTGGAAGGCGAGCCAGAATCAGATAGGTGTGAAGAAAGTGACCACGACACAGACACAGAAGAAAAATGGGAAAAAAATTGGAAACAGAATTGGAGGAAGGATTGGGGGAGGAACCTGCAACTTCAAAATATTTTGAAACTAATATGGAAAACCAGCGGCTCTTTTATTATGCAAAAGATGGGGTATCCTGGAGAAAACATGCGCCTCCAAAAATGTTCGGACAAGAAGTTCTAATTTAATTTCATACTTGCCAGGTTCAAAAGGAAATGTTCGTCAAGCAGTTAATCCTTTAGAGTATTGTAAATATTTTATTGATGATTCTCGAAACCATTGTACAGAATACAAACTTATTTATTTCTAAACTTAGAAACAATTATGCAGATCCGAATGAAGCCACACCTACAGATACTGTAGATGTGAAAATATATATAGATCGGTTTAAAACGTTCTCCTACGTCTTCCGATACCCAGTTGCCACTACTCTCGATTCATCCATAAGTCTTCTTCTATGTCTCTGTCTTTCATTTCTCTATTGATGCCTTCTCTAAAACTAGGGGTCTACATTAAGACTTGTTTTGTGAGACGTTCTCTGTACCTGACCGTACCGTCTGAGTTGTTGGGTACTAATATCGTCTACTATATTGTATGTTTTACTTTCATAATTTCTCTTATTCTGTTGTTCGTTATTCTTTCTAGTCTAGATTTTCCAGCTGAACGTCTCCAGAAATCCATTTCCGTTGCCTTAAGTTTTCTCTTGTATCTTTCCTGTATTTGCAGTACTTCACTTCTAGATGTAATTATACTATTAATGATTATATTATATATCTTGTGCTTGTTATTATCAGAGATTGATTGTTCCAAAGGGGTTTTATAAAGCAAGCTGCCGAAATTGCGAAGAAATTTGGGCTACCAATGGAACAGGCAAAGAGGTGTTTCGAGCTACTATGGCTCATAGGCGATTTGTATTCTGGCTACGTTGCTTTTGATGACGTAAATACTAGAGAAGAAAGAAGAGCCATAGACAAACTTACACCAATAAGAAACGTTTTTGCAGGCATAAACTCTCACGTCATACATATATGTAATGCAAATGAAAACTACATAATTTCGGAACGAAGATTGTTTCCGAAATCAATTGGCTTAGGCCATGACAAGAGAGAACATGCTAACCAGAGCGAGAGACACTCATTTACAAAAGGATATCAAAAATATCGCCCAAAAATTAAGTGGATTACATGTAGATCCAGATGTTGATCCAGACAGAAACGTACCCGACTGTTCAAGTAATTAGCATGTATCCGATTACTCAAGGGTTAATTGCCCCACAATTGGCTGTTATTTAGGTTTAGTATCCAATATTACCTCCTCTACACCTGCGGAGAATTTCAATACGCCTACGCATACTTGCAATAAGTTTCTGAATCTGTTCTTGTGCTATATATTCCCATTCTTCATGCAACACCATTTTCTGCTTTTGAGTCATTTCTGGCAATGGTTGCCTCTTTTTAATCTTTTCCCTAAAATGTCCAATAAATATTCTAATGATTCATGTTAGAACTATAAGCTGGTCAATCCGAAATGGAAAAACCGACAGAATTTAGGTAGTCCATGACGATTCGCTCAGTATGTGGACGCGCATTATCCTACCTAAATGAGAAATTATCTCCAACGAAAGGAGGTTAGAGGACAGCATTGTCCTCCAAACACTGTCATATGTTTCTGTCTGCTGTTAGAGTTTTATGTTCGATGAAAATTAATTCGGTGTGTCCGTTGAAAGAAATACTTAGCTCATACCATCACCCCTCCGCCACCAAACGGTGCTTTGGGTAAAGCAAGGTGCAAATCGTTCTCCGGGTCTCATCCAAACACGTTCGCGTCTGCATTAACTGCTGTTAATTTAGATCATGCTACTGGTTTCTCAGAATCTAAACCTGTTTTAAAAATGTTCGTCACGCTGATCTCTGCACGTTTATTTGCCTGATCCTGGTCTTCTAGTGTATTCTCCAGTCTGACGATACTTCTTCGTAAGAGCATCATGGGTGGTACTTTTGGCAATATTCAAATGATTTGCAATATAACATATACTGCAACCATCTTCATGAAATGCTACAACTTTTAGATTATTTTCCGAACATCATGTCATATTAACACGATTTGAAAACATTAAAGAACAGTGATCTAAATTTATCAGAATAAACGTTAAACTTATCGTAAATGCAAAAATCTGTTGCTGGTAAACAAGATAAAGTATCAATTTTTGGCAAATGTCAAAATTTTGTTTCTATGATGATGCGATCATTTGAAAACATAAAAGAACCGTTTTTCTTGCTATAAATGAACGTTTTATATTATTAATGTTTACTTCCTCCCCATTAAAACTACTTAACACCTACATAATTAAACAAAACAATTAAAACGCAAATGTACAGATTTTTTGACATTTTATAAGTTGAAAATTAGAGGTGGAACATTTTCAGGTTCTTCTTTATTTTAACATATATTATAAATTTCAATAAATAACATTCCTTTTTATTGGAAAAACTATACAGGTTGATCTATAGGCTTTCATAATAAGACAAATATTTTTTTGTAGTTTTCTTTTTTAACCACTTGAATAGGCCTTTTCATCATGTGACGGGCACAAAGCAGCTGCGATGTTGAAACAGCTAAGTACAGTTTAATAGTTTTTAATGCTTAATACAAAAATACAATGTTTAAGTAGTACAACACGAGATTGTTTATAAAGAAATAAAAGGCTTTGAAAAATTTATAAAACAATAGGTATGTAATGTATGTGTTTTAAAAAAATTGTAAGAATGGAAGAATTTCCCAAATCAAATCATCTACATTATTACAAGTTGCCAAAAATCAAATATTATCAAATTTACTTACTTAATCCACTGCACTTACTACTCTCCTCTTTTTCCTTTTCCTTCAAACAATACTCCTCACACAACTGCTTCAAGGTGACATAGTTTTCGTTATCACTGGATTTTGATTCGCTCTTGGGTATGCTGTAATCGCTGTCGCTGTTTTTAATGTCGTCTATATGTTGTGGTGGTGCTTCGATATTAAATTCTTTGGTCAACTCGTTTACCGAGCAAGGTCTCGTCGTAGGCTCTCTGGAATGGACGTATTTCTGTTGCTCAGCTATGAATGTCAGGACATTGTGCAATGTAGCTTCTCGGTTATCGCCGTTTTCACTTAAGGCTCCTCCTAAGCTTCTGGACGAAGTCGACGCCAGACTTTTAGTGCTCTCGAACTTCACTAACCTAAAATAAATTTATCAGTACAACTTATAGAAGAGGGTACTGGCTAGATTTGATGCAGCAAGTAACAGCAATAATTTATTAAAAAGTAATTATTAGAGCCTTAGAGTCACTTGACCTAAGAAATAAAGCATTATATAGGTAGAGAATGAACACTTATAGTAAACCAATAAGGATGTCAATTTAGAGTTGACCTTCTTTGTTGTTCTAATAATATGGTGGCGACATTTCTGATATTGCCGAACAAACAGACTTTCTGTATACTTTATTAGTGCTCCATTAGTTATATATATATAGTTAGTGTTTAATCACAAATTAACCTCTTAATTTGTAATCTCACATTATTGTTAACTTCTTAATCTTTTATAGTTTCACCGTGTATAAGTGACATTGTAAAACCATATCGTATAATCTATTAATAATTAGTTCACTTACCCACAACTAAATAAATTGCCGAATAATATATTTTCTAATTGAACTTCCTAAGTGTCGCAATTAAGGCCTAGATTAAATTGTATTGTAAGCAAAGTTTCTTCGTATGGCATGATAGAAAGCAATAACCTCTGTGCTTGGGTATGAAATATTTGTGAGATTATAAATTGGGGATTTGAGCTCATTTGAGTACAGTCAATCATAAGTAGTTACCTAACGAACATCATATTGTGTAATTGCCAGTAGCTGTCAATAAATCAATACTTTTTTTAACCTTTTATTATACCTATCATCGTCGATCGACAAGAAGCGGACAAAGGGGCATTTACAAACCGATTCGAACCTCAAAACTACGTTCGAATCTTTCCAGTTATTGTAATTCAGTTTCAGACTACCATGGCTTTAAAGCAGGAATTGATCAAACAGGTGAGTGGCGAACCCCCAAAAAGATGACCATGTCCTATAACTCGTTGCCAACTGGGCAAATTTGGCATCAACATGTTTGAAATAAAAATCTGCAGAATTTTTCTAATTAAAATTGTTTAATTCAATGCCAAAATGTGATATTAGAAAAAGGTAAGGTAAGCATGAGAATTTAGTTGTTGTTATAATACAGTATATGGAATTGAAGACGAATCAAACGAAAAACAAACTATCAAACATATTACAGACGTAGTGCAAAATGTAAAGCATAAACACTTAAAGACAGATAGATTAATGAAGAAAAAATCGTGGATGACAGATTAGATCCTAAAACTAATGGACGAGAGAAGAGACGCAAAAATGACTCAGATATATATAAAACCATCAATATAAATAAGAACGAAAATCAGAGAAGTGAAAGAAAAAGAAGCAAGGGAAAGATGTGAAGAAATTGAGACTCTGCAGTCAAAGTAAGATAGACACAATGGACATAGGAAAGTTAAAGAACTCACAGAGAGACTAAGACGGAGGCAGAAAGAAAATATAACTGATTCTTATGAAAACATTATCTTGGACAAACAAAGAAAAACAACAACGTGGAAAGAATAAATAGAAAAACTATTTGAAGACCAAGAAGATAACATCTTTGAGCTAGAAGAAGAGGTAAATGATGTACCAATAATATTACAGCAGGAAGTTTATTCCGCAATAACGCAGTTAAAGGATGGCAAAGCGGCAGTCCCTGATAATATACAAGCAGAACTACTCAAAGTAATGGACAACAAATCAATAGCAATAATCGCAAAGATATTCAACAACATATACACCTCGGGAGAAATACCAACAGAATGGCTGAAATCTGAGTTTATTGTAATTCCAAAAAAACCAGGAGCCAAAAAATACGAAGATTACCGTACTATAAGCCTCATGAGTCATCTCCTAAAATTGTTCCTAAAGATAATTCATAAGAGAATCTACAAGCTGTGTGAAAGTCAAATTTCTCCCAAACAGTTCGCAAAGATAATGCAAATACTAAAAGAAGTAGGAATTAACAACCAAGATCTGAAAATAAATAGAAATCTTTACTGGAATCAGACAGCAAATCTCAGAGTTGAAGGTGAACATACTGACTATGTGAAAATCATGCGTGGAGTGAGGCAAGGCTGTATTCTGTCTCCTCTAATCTTTAATCTGTACTCTGAAAGAATATTTATCAAAGCTTTGCACAAAACTAAAAAAAGGTATTCTACTAAATTGTTACGGGCTAAACAACATCAGATATGCAGATGACACCATAATATTTGTGCACAACTTAGAAGACCTACAAGGTCTTATGAACAAAATCACTTATTACAGTCAACAATATGTACTCAATATAAACGTTAAGAAGACAAATTAGCAAGAAAATTATAACAGAAGGTCAACTCTACTTCAACCAATCTCCTGTAGAAAGAGTGACGCATTACAACTAACTCGGCACCATAATAAATGAAGAATGGACCAACAACCAGGAGATTAGAGCACGCATCGGAAAAGCTAGGTCCACCTTCAACCGGATGGGGTTTTTTTTAAAGTCACAACCTCTCTCTTTATACAAAAGTAAGAATGCTGTGATGCTACCTCTTCTCTGTCCAATTTTATGGTGTTGAATCGTGTACCTTGAACGAAGATTTGTGCATAAAACTGGAAGCATTTGAGATGTGGCTATATCGGAGAATACTTAAGATGCCGTGGACTGACAAGTCACAAATGAGGAGGTCCTCAGAAGAATGAATAAGAACCGAGAGGTAATGACCACCATTAAATCTCGAAAGTTACAATTCTTCGGACATATTATGTGAAATCGATCCAGATATGCTCTCCTTCAAGCCACCCTGCAAGGAAAAATATTTGGAAAACGAGGTCTAGGAAGAAGAACATCTTGGATAAAGAACCTCAGAATCTGGTTCAATACAACATCTGTGCAGCTTTTTCGCGCTGCTGCAGATAAGATTAAGATTGCCATGATGATTGCCAACATTCGTAACGGATCGGCACGTCAAGAAGAAGATAATAAATAAAGTCGTATATTTAAAGTGAAAAAGTAACTAGCTAGAAATCAATTAGTATCGCTGATATAGTTTATAATGCAGTAGCAATATGACCTGGGTCACCTTTACAGGTATTAAGTTATATAATAAAATCATTGGGCAAATGCGGCGAGAGCCTGACACCACGGTAAATTGGTAGTGTCGTTTTAGTACATGTAACCGTTTGCCTATAATCGTATGCCGTTTTAAACTTGTTAGCCCTCAACGTCTATAAACCTTGTTATGGTTCCTATCTCTAACTAAATGTAAAGTATTGAATTTCTACATACCTATAAAAATCCCTTGTAAAATCGGTTCCTACATTGGGCAATTCTCCCGTATCACTACTAGCCACCGAAGACCTCTTCGAACACGTTTCGGGTTCGTGAGAATTACAACAATCGGACGCTCCACTCGACCAACTGTTATCAGGAGAAGTTTGTTGATGTTGCACAATGCTTGAAATGGCGTAGGGCCAATGTTTTTCGCCATTTGGTCCGTCCATCAAAAGTGTCACTAGTTCTCTGCCTTCCTTGTCCATCATGTAGCTAAGCGTTAAAATATTTAGTTATTAAAGAGCAACCAGTGAATAGTACAAAAGGGAGTTAGGAAAAATAATTCAGTATGCGTTTGAAAAATCCAAGTATATAATTAAATATATTGATATATGACTAACTACTTAACATAGTATTGCTTTCCTAATAATTCGGCGTCTTTTTTGTAAAATAATTTGTGTTTGTGTTGGGTCTCAAAATATTATTATGATTATTATTTATTATTTATTTTTAACGGATATACGATTTACATTGGAACAAAATATAATATATACAATTTTACAAAGTAAGCATAACATTGGAAAATAATTAGTAAAGTTTAACAAAAACTAATGATTCACTTGAATACAAACTAATATCACACAAATAGCAGTCTCTTTATCACATTTTTAAATTGTTCTAAGGACTGAAAAAATAAGTCCAGATCACTTTGGTACCTATTATATAGTCTCAATATGCTTAACGAACTGAATGAAGAAGAACCTTAATGAAGAAGCATTTTAAAAGTTTCCTGGGTGGAGAAGATTCGCAACTCCACAATACTTGAACGTCTCAGCAAGTCTACTGAGATCATAAAAAGCATTAAGCAGAGAAAGATGAAATATTTCGGACATGTAATGAGAGGTCCCAAATATAGATTGCTACAAAATATCATGCAAGGAAAAATAGCAGGCAAACGCAGTCCAGGACGAAGAAGAACCTCATGGTTGAAGAACTTGCGAGATTGGTATGGTGTTGATACAAGCATGCTATTTAGGGTGGCAGTGAATACAATTAAAATAGCTATGATGGTAACCAACGTTCTGAAAGGACATGGTACATGAAGAAGAAGAAATATGCTTTAGATTACGCAAAATCTCTCGTGTGATTCATATATTATTTCCTGGAGCAATCTTTAATATAATCTCGTCGGGTCTGTGCCTCGTCTGCGACTTCCAAATACGTTCACGAATATTAAAAATAACGTAAAGAATCTAAGCTGGAGTAGACTGCGTCAAGGGGAGTCGCGTCCGCGACTCTCTAATACGTTTCCGCCTTTAATGTCGTGTCGTGTGTGTGTTTACTGTCCACATTCGTGCACTGTGTGTGCCCTAGCCTTAGCTAATAAACAGAGTACCGTTGAAAAGAACACGCGGGATTTATGTCTATCTGGTGCTTTTTTTGGCTTTTCGATGCCATATCGTTTTAATTTATGTAATAGTATATTGTAATTCGGTAATTCGTCAAATCAAATACATTTAAGAAGCAAAGTAAAATACTGGTATGGATTGTTTACCATCCAGATGAAAGATGAATACGAAATGAAGGATATTTATTACAAACTCTTACCTGGAATTATTCCACAAACATTCATTCGAATCTTCTTCGAGCTCTAACGCATTATTTTCCTGAATACTGGGCAACGTCGATATAGATATCTGCCCCGGAGTAGTAACATCACTTTTCTTCCACTGTTCTCTTAGATCGTCGTTGGACAAACTTAAACTCCAATCCTCTAGTTCGGCGCGATCGTATTCCAGTTCAAGCATGTCTCTATGTTGCTGCTGCAACGTGGATCGTGTCTCGTCCAGTTTCAACCAATGTTGGATGTATTCTGCATCCCAGGCTGTACATTCGAGGCGGTCGTCTGCACCGCTTGACCAAGATAAAGGTGACTTGGCGTCTTCGGCGCAAATTTCCAAATTGGTCGAGTTGCCTAAAAAGTTGAAAAGTATTACATTCCGAATGTATTTTAAAATTTTGACAATTTTTGTTGACATTTTTCGCAATAATTCAAAATAACAACACGTTACATATTAGTCGTAAGTTGAAGTTGAGAACTAGCTGATTAATAAATATGATACATCAGTGTGACGTCACTTTAATTTTTTTTAAAGATATCTTGATTGTTAAGTAGCTAAGCTAGGTATATCATCATCATAATCGACGTTCAATTCGCTTAATTACTGACCAACGGCTTCGGGCATAGGAGTTGGTAAATGTTAGGGCACCTTTTTGTCCTGGGGTTGAGAAATCGATCCCAAAGGCGGATGAACCAAAATTTGGCCAACGGCATAAAGATGTAGAAGGTAAGGGGAAACCACTACATTAAAAATCCATACGGATATCCCTAGAATAATTATCTTATATGTCGGACAAAATTGAAGCAAAGGCCTTCAGTCCCGGGCAGACCTTAGATGGTCCGAGGGTGCTAAAAATCCCCCGGGTTCGACTTCAAGATGTTATTCATAAAGTAGCGACATGGAACGTCAATAGTTTGTGCATCCCAGGAAAGTTACATAACCTGCTCAAAGAAATGCGGCGCCTAGAAGTGAAAGCAATAGGTGTAAATGAATTGAGGTGGTCTGTCTCAGGTATTTCTCACAAAGATAACTTTAGAATGTACTATTCCGGTTACGACGCCATAGATAATTAGAACAGGCATAAAGTTGCCATAGTGCTTGATAATAGAAATGCGATGTATGTTATAGATTACATACCCGTTACAAACAGAGTAATCATAGTGAAGTTAGCCGGTCAACCTATTAATATAAATATAATCCAAGTTTACGCACCCACATCTGATAAACCGCAAACTGAAGTTTCACATTTCTATAAAGACATAAAGGAAGCATGAAAGGTCACAAAGAAAAACGATATCAACATCATAATGGGCGATTTTAATGCCAAAGTCGGTAGGGGTAGATGTGGTAACGCAGTCGGTGATTTCGGTCTGGGTAACAAGAATTTTGAATAACTTGAATTTTGTAATGATCACGATTTCGTCATATCCAATACGTGGTATCAACTCCCACCAAGATTGTACACATGGCAAGTACCAGGAGATTGTCCAGATTGATTACATCTTGATAAACAAACAGGCCGCTTACCCTGGTGCGGTCATCTCGTCTCACTACAACCCCCTAATCGCGAATGTAAGGCTTCGATTCGCAAATGTTAAAAATCCATCAAATAAAAAAATACATAAACACTAGAGAATTAATGAGAGATTAATTGCTTAGATCTATATACAGTAAGCACATCAACGAGAACTTGAGAAACATACACGGAAATTGCATAGAGGAAACCTGTGAGAAAACAAAAATAGCTATAGTCGAGGCTGACGAAGTAGTCGCAAGTAAAATAAAAAGAAATCACGAAAACGAGTGGATGACGGAAGAGATACTTGATCTAATGGAGCAACGCAGACAGTACAAACGTGAATGAATGAACGTTGTGAAGAATTGGAACCACTACAAGAAAAGGGGGACAGCTTTGGACTACATAAGAAGGTCAAAGAAATTTCGAAAATGTATAAAAAACACCATGAGACTCGCCTCAAGAATGATCAAGGAAACTACGTTCATACCTAAGAAACCGTACTGCTTCCTTTTGTAATTTAAAAATAACATCAGATTGGGCAGCTGTACTAGAACCCCAAAAAGGAACGCCATATCGAAGATGAAACTCGAACAAAGAAAAATATGTTATTTTGGAAGATGCTAAATTGATTTCTTTCATTTTTCATGCTACAATTAACATTTGAAATCCTAAAGCCTTTGACAAGCCTAACGAGACACAAGCGATTAACGAAACCTAGATATTGACATATCATCGGCAGCAAGCCATAAACAGAAATAAACCGTTTAATAAAGATGTTTAATATTGATTTTAGCAAAAAAATGAAAGAGATCAAAATTGTATAACGTATAATTCTCTTCATTTTTGTTTAGATAAATTTATGTTGTAAAGTTTATCATAAACGAGATAATTCAATAATTATGCTTCACCCTTACAATATTTTCCCACTCGGAAAATATCGATCGTATGGAAAAATTGAAAAAAAAAAGAAATTATATCAAATCGCAGTTGAAACAATTTCAGTTGGTACGATTTTTGTCAAAAAGAGTTAAAGAGAGAAAGTAACAGAGATATTGAGCAAAAATGGTTCCACTAAATTCAAGATGGCGGCTAACGCAACGGTGAGATTTAGTCGCGATTTTAAATTAACATTACTAAAATTGACCACCTCTCCAAAGATAGAACAATACAATTTGGGGTAGCTCGTCATGCAAGGTCCGACTAGACTATTAGGAATCTTATTATTTCTGCTGACATATTCTGTTCCCATTATCAACTTTTTTTGGTGTATGATACATTTTGTATTTCCTACTACCCTTATCTGATGTTATTATTTGCTTACTTAAGCATTAAAGTCCTCCATGATTAATAATTCATCATTTTCTTGAAACTTGCATAATACTAACCATAAAAATTCTTACAATTCTTCTTTTTTATTTTTAGGTTATGTTAGTGCATACACATTTTATATTTTCAGTGGATGGATTTATTTATTTTTTCGACTTACACTTGCTATTCTTTCATTTTTTCTTCTTCTCGTGTCGCCTTCTAACGAAATTTAAAGCCTTTTTTGCAAGGTGAAATATCTGTTTTACACTAAGGTTAGTTCAATCTCTCGTACAATTCTTCTTTTTTATTTTTAGGTTATGTCAGTGCATACACATTTTATATTTTCAGTGAATGGATTTATTTATTTTTTCGACTTACACTTGCTATTCTTTCATTTTCTCTTCTTCTCGTATCGCCTTCTAACGAAATTTAAAGCCTTTTTTTGCAACGTGAAATATCTGTTTTACACTAAGGTTAGTTCAATCTCTACTTCTCAAAAGATTGGTCAAGATTACCTTTTGCTTCACATTTCTTCCACTCATTCCTTCTTGGACGAATGCGTGCAAAATACTATGAATTCCTATTTATTTCGTCTCACTGTCTTCTATCCTTACTATCGCTGTTTGATTGTAGCATAGATTTTTAATTACAGTAGAATCCTTAGGATCTATGTTTATGTTTCTTAGTGCCTTTATAAGTTTACCGTGATGGATACGGTATTTTGGAAATTTATGAAACATTGACCACTTCTTCTCTTGTGCCCATTGCACCCCTCAATCGAAACTGTGTGTTGTCTAATTGTTCTTCATATTTTTATGTATGAGCTGTTAAATAACTTTTAATAGGATTTTTAATGTCTAGATCACAAGTCTAATTAATTCGCACTCATCGCAGGATTTACGATCAGTTTTCTTGCAATTTCTTCGATTTTTCCTGTCTTTAGCATCGTTCTTACATTCCAAGTTGTTATTCTTGTTAGTTTTTGTTTTACCTTTTTTTAGTTTCTTTATATTTTTATATTTATTTTTTTAGTTTCTTTATATTATATTATTTTGGAAGGCACAAAGAACGATGGAGAGACAAATGTTGGGTGTATCACTTAGAGATAGAAAACGTAACCAGTGGATCAGAACCAGAACAAAGACAGTAGACGCGCTAGAACAAGCAGCATAACTGAAATGGAAATGGGCTGGACACAATGAACGTCTCCAAGACGGACGATGGAACAATGCCATCGGAAAGTGGCGTCCATACAATGCAAAGAGATCAAGAGGCAGACCACAGATGAGGTGGAAAGATGACATCAGGATACAAGGAGGTCCCACATGGCAGAGAACAGCTCAAGATAGGGAAAGATGGAGAGAACTGGGGGAGACCTATATCCAACAATGGAAGGATAGAGAATAGGTTCAAAAAAAATATTTTTATATATTAATTTTTCTTCCTCTTTGTTCTCCGTCCCTGGTGCTTCTTCCAGCTTCTTGGCTAATTTAATTTGCGTTTTTTTGGTTCATGTCTAAATCTGAATAGACCCATTGGTCAGAGAAGAAGAGGAAGACTCAGAACAAGGTTTCTTGATAACATGTAGGTTTACTGAAGACGATTTTTACTTCTTACATTTTTCCTTTTTCGCTCAGGCATTTTCCTTATCTCCTTATGTATCGTTTCACTTTTTTATTTTTCATATTTTATTTGCAAAAAACTTATTTATTAAAGTTAACTTAATATAGTTTACATAGTAAATTAGTAAATACATTTTTACTTACCCCATAACGTACTTGTTCCCCTCGTCCTCCTCAAGGGATTTATTGACTTTTCGGTAATATCTACTAAAAAAATAGACGGACTGCTGGATATTGGCGAACTAAATGTGTAGCAGGGGGATGGTGCTGTTGTAATTTTGATGCAAAGATGTGAATCCGAAAAGCTTCGCATTATATGTTGAAATGGCAGGATATCTTTACTTGGGGGAAAACTATTTCTGTAATAAAAATATCGCGTCAATTATGGAGAAAAAAATCATACCATAAAATGAACAGGAACACAAGGAAACATTCTTTTATATTTGATATTAGTGAGTCTCAATATTTCTATACCTTTGGTTAAGATTCAATAGATTCAGCGGAATGTACAATATATCAGGATCCTTGTTATCGCTCACCAACAGTCTATTATCGGACACATCAGTTTCGTCACTAGCTTCTTTTAGATCTTCTAATCCTCTTCTCGGCAAAGTTGCATCTCCTGATCCCCTGGTAACGTCAGCTTGGACGTCGGAAGACATTGTCGAATAACCTTAAAAAATCGTTGTTAGATATAATAAATAAAGCCCGAATTATAAATATTTTGCTTTCTATTATAAAAATTAACATAAACGATTGTACAAATTATAAGTAAAAGTAAATAAATGGAACCGTAGATTTCATTTTCGTTACATTTGGTGTCAGACGTAGACTCTTACCTTCATCTCTATTCCCACTCTCTGGTGACTCGTTCCCCGTCGTTTCTTCTTCGCTTTTCGATGTTGATTGTGCTAATACGGGTCTGGATCTTCGATATTTTGTCGTGTGTAAAATGGGTAAGTGTAAATTTAAGGA